CCTAGACAAACCTTTGCTAAAAAGGTACACTTTCTCCATGAAAAGGCTTCTTCTATGATTGGAATGACCTGTTCGAGCACGAACTCCTGTAAACCAAACCAAGTACCGTTACGATGTTTAGTCGTACGGGAAATCCACTCGCCATGCAGTACCGTTACGATTTTTAATCGTAAGGGAAATCCACTCACGAAATATTTTCTAATTATATTATATTACCACATTTTTATTACATAGATCTTTTTCAAAACATAACTGCTTTTATAACATTATATAGACCCATTAAACACAAAAACTGCTCTGGCTTCGGGGGCTTCGCCCCCGACCCTACTGGGGCCCTTAGGCAGGCCTCTGGACCTCACGCCCAGAGAACCCCCCCTTGAAATGACCTGGCTACGGGCCTGGGTGGGGATTTACCCTTATTTACAATGGGTGTGAAATCTGAAGTGTCGACTGTAGTTGTTAATAGGGGTTTTTTCGCCTCATAGGCTTCTTATTTTGATGTTATCGATTTCTATCTGAGCATTCGATGCTGATCTTAATTAGTGAAGTTAATCGTTTTTCCTTTTCTAGAAGATGATTGTCATTATGGTAACACTAATGCTTATTATTATTATTATTATTATTATTATTATTATTATTATTATTATTATTATTATTATTATTGAATAGCGTATTCTATTTATTTAGTCAAAATGCACTCAAATTTATTTCAGATTTCAAAGTCTACAAAATTTAAATCTCGCTAGTAGATCAATTAAATTTTGATAAATTTTTGTTTCAGATTGAGATTTCGTGGAGAATATCATGGAGGCGATCATATTCAACAAACCTATACTGTGATGCAAGCACGATAGCAAATGAAGTGCTATTGCCAGGCGCTGGGACTCTAGCCTGTGACAGCTCGTGTTTGGATAGTGTTCCACTGAATTTTTATTGCACTGACTTCAGTGAGAATGAAGACTGGACATCTGGAGTTAGGACCGTAATACGCAATTCTTCAACGCCTTTGTTTGAAATGAGGTATTACATGTTATCAAAACCTTAAAAAATTCTTAAACGAAGTTTAGTTCTAGTAAGCATATTAGAACTAGGCCTAACATAGTTACAACCACGACTGTATGAAGTACATACAGTAGCTATCTCAATGCGTCGTTGCAAAGCTACGACCATCAAACTAACCAACCGTGGCGTAGGTATGGTTAGTGCAGACAGTGCAAAACACTGGGGCCCGGGGCTATTAGGGCCTTTTTCAGTGAGCCTATCAATCTAAAATATGTATAACAAAAAATCCAAAAAATGTGATCGATAAATTGACAAACATAATAATGATTATAACTAGACTTACTATGTTTGTTTGAACAACAGAACATAGGGCTTTTCCCCATTGCTTTAATGAGAAATGAAGTTGAAATTGTGACAAAAAGAAAAGTCGTTAAAAGGTATAAAGTAAAAAAAACACGGAAAATCAATATAATTTTAATGAAGAGGAAAAAAATGAAATGAACAAAAAACGAAAACCAAGTTCATTGCGACGTTATTATTGAGACTTGAACTATGGCTGCTATGGTAATAGCGAGGTTTACATCGTGACTCATAACCATTGCGCACCACATGAGCCGACCTTGAATAGGAAAGTGCATTTTCAGTTCATAGCGATTCAATGAATAAAAGCAAAAATTGTTCATGCATATCACTGTAGTTTTGACTTTAACCTAGCTGTAACTGATTTAAGCGCTTTAGGAAACGCAAATTGCGTTTATATAATTTAATCAACTGTCAATAAAACATCTTTAAATGGTCCTCATATTCAAACCCTACTGCGGATCGTCACCAAAATTGGATCATTTCTTCATTTCATCCTGAAAAACTATTCTACAAAGTGTCATTTTTATCCATCTATAACTGGGACGTAAGCAATTTAAATGACCCTCAAATTTACACACTAACCTGGATCATCCCCTACACATAATAATATTGCGTAAGAAATGATAATCCAATTTAGCTTTTATGAAACGTAAGGATAACTTCTCATACTTCCTAAGCAAACAAATAGGCAGGTCTTCCGAACTAAAGTCCTTGATGATAGAACCAAACGGACGCAAATTGATGAAAATTTTATTGTAAACATGTTTCGGGTGTTCTATCCAACCCATCATTAGTACAAACAGAACGAAAAAAAAAACTCGCCATTCTTAACTAAGTGTATATATACAAAGAATTGAATGAATATTAATTAGATAAGCTAGAATGTTACCAATTAAGGTAACGAACGATCGTTCTAGATAATCATATGGAAGGTGTATAGAACACATTGCATACATTAGTGCTGTATGCTAATTAAAAGTTGTAAGCTTAAGTGTTTGAGTTGAACATTGAGATTTGGACTGTTCCATTTGATATGTAGTGATTCTTTTATTTTTAATCTAATTTCACTGTTGTCCTGGTCAATGACGTTGAAGCATGTAGTATTAGCTGATATTTTGCCTTTTTTATTTTCATTTAGATGTTTTAAAATGTGTGAATTTTTGTCTGTACCAAGGCACTGAATATATTTACAATCAGACAAGCATAGTTAAACCGCTCATGTGGTATAAACAGCATCAGTTACTGGCTCATATAATCATGGCATGACTTTGCTTTGGCTATCAAGCATTATTAATTTTGTTTTTGTTTTTGTTTTTTGTTTTTTCGTATTCATAAACGTGATGTTTTATTTCAACAAATGAAATTAATATCGTTCTTCCGATCACAATAAAAACATCACATTTTTCCCCCTTTTACATGAATCTTAGATATAAGTAAACCGTAAGTCTTAACGTACAGTTCAATACACATAATTCCATCTGACTTTAACACAAGAACAACCATACCAGAGCCTGGATGCCTGATCAAAATGGTACATATATTTATATATGCATAGGTCCTCAAAGTATATATATTCTTTATCCTTTTCGTTTTATATTTATATATAAGTTTATAGATATATACATACATAAACACATACATAAAGATACATGCATACATATACATATATGTACATACAGTACCTACACACAATCCCACATATATATACAAATATGCACACATACACACACATACAGACACATACCTATGGTTAATTTTTTTTCATGTCAATATCCAAGTCAATATAATTTAGCATTTCACATCCATAAATAGGTAAACATACAGTTGCATACGTTAGTCAGGATCTCAATAATGATACTTTTATTATTCTTGTTAATAATAATAATAATAATAAATAATAATAATAATTAGTAATAATAATAATAAAAATAATAATGATGATTAATAATAATTAATAATAATAATAATAATAATAACAATAATAATAATAATAATAATAATAGTAATAATAATAATAATAGTGATAATTAGGAGTGATAATTTTATATAAAATGCAGATATTGCCATAGCTAAATTACGAAATCCTTGATTTTGCTTGCTTTGGCTGATGAGGTATTTTCTTCCAACTTTTTTCTGTATTTAAACTCAACTAAAAGAATTGGTATAATAAGTTTTAATAACTGTATATTGTTTTCACGTGATTTTAGCCGTTTTGGAATAAATAACAAATACCACAGAGTGTACATAATGGCGATTCTATAATTTTGTATTCGAATAATTTTTTGTTGGTTATTAAAATTGCATGTAAAATATTGAAATTGAATTGTTTAATAATAATAATAATAATAATAATAATAATAAGATTTATTATTATTATTTATTTCATAGATTTCATAAATTTTCATTTTCAAAACACTTTTCCATTCAATAATAAGGTCATTGTGCAATACGACTTGCCAGTACAAAATTCCTTTCCGCGTAATAATATCTTTTAGTATTATATTTCTATTATATCATTTTGTTACTTGCCTTATATAATAACTATTATACTCCAGCATTTGAAAATCTTCTTTGTTGCGATCTACGATATCACATTTTATAAAATGATATTTTAGATTAATCGACCATTCCAATATATCATGACCCAATTGCGGCACTTCCGGATTTACTAATTTACCGTTGCTGAAGACATCTTTAATTTTTAAAATACATGCTGAGTCAATGCAAGCTTTGGAGTAAGGTTTGTTATCAATCTTAATCAATGAATTGCCCCAAATAAATTCATCATAAATTTCTGCCGGAGTGGTGTGTTCATTTTTAATACCACCTCCAGCAACCGTCCAAGCTTCTATTATTTGTTTATAAAAGCAAGGAATATTTATATTAACTACTTTCAGTACCATGGGTGATCTTAGGACGAACAGGTCATTACCAATTGTATTTAAAAAAATGTTTTAGAATACATTTCCACATAGTCGTTTCGTCATTCAAAAATCTTTTTAACCACTTACCTCTCAAGGTGTAACATCTTGCTCGAAAGTTTTGTATATTTATACCGCCCTCTAGGAAATTGTTATACAATGTTTTCCTCGCAACTTTTTCCGGTTTAGAGTCCCATAGAAAGGCAAAAATTAATTTGTCCATTTCCTTAAAGACAAAATCTGGAATATTAAGTATGCTGGCTGTAAATATGAGTTGTGATAATGCTAAATTATTGATTATCATAACTTTTCCAAAAAGCGTAAGTTTTCTTCTTTTTTTTTCCACGTATTTAAACTATTTTCTAATTTATCTATTTATATCTTTCCAGTTCAATTTTACACAAGTTTTACGGTCATAACCAAGATATATCCCTAACACACTAATCGGCTTTTGTTGCCAATTAATTCCAGTAACTTTTCCTTTCTATGTTTCCATGTCCCAATAAAGATTCCTACTGATTTCTTAACATTAAGACGAAGACCTGAAAATTTACAAAACATATCAAGAGTACTTAGGGCTTCTTTAATGCTATTATCATCGTTAACAAATAGAATGGTGTCGTCTGCATATTGTGCAATTTTTAAGCCTTTGTTTTGACCGTTCACGTTTTCTCTAATATTAACTACTAGTATTTCAACTGCAACCAGAGGGAATATGTTATTATTCAGTTCAATATTGATTAGTTATTTCCTGCCTAAATTGTCATTTTTAACATTAATAATTTTACCTCTAAAAGTTTCACTTCAAAATATGGATGCACCTCTGCTTTTTGATGTTCAAAAACTCTAAAGACAGGTTCCTTTCCAATTCAAATCCTCGATGAATTTCTCGGTAAAATGAGTCTCCTGAGCGAAGAAGGTATCAGCTTTCTGAAAGCGTAGTCATTGTTGAAGGTGTCCTCGATTTAAATTATTCTTAAATCCCCGAACGTTGAGCGAAAAAAGTGTTAACTTAGGACGGGTCATGATCAATGCAATATGTAAGAATTTACAATATTATATAATTTAGTGTTGTTGGCATGCAGTATGGTGCAGTAGTGCGAAGCTTGACGTTTTCGTCATTTTTGCATCTTTTTTTTTTTAATTTGTATTACTTCTGTGCTATATGCCTCTCAGTTTTAAGTGTCTACATTTTAGGTGATTCCTTCTTTTCCCTCCTCTTCTTTGATTTTTTTTTTGATTTTTTTTTTTTTTTGTAGAGCTCGGTTGCTGTTTATTACTATTCTCTTTATTTTCATTTCATTAATTTCATTTTCTTCTTCTGTTTGCTCTTCACTAGTAGACGACTCGCTTGTGTTTCGCACGTCTGGCGTTCGCTTAATACTATCTCTGCAAGTCGATCGTGAACGGGATGTGACGTCATAAAAGTTTCTTAAGAAAGTCGTAATCGCCGGTTGATTCGTGCGATTCTAAGTGGTTGTTACTGATTTCAGGTTCAGATTCAGTAGTCGGCAGACGTTGCTCATGGTTGGTGTTTTTGTTTTTGTTTAGCGATACCAGTTGTTATGTCAGTGCTCTTACAGTCTGCAGCTATATGTCCTGGTTTACCACATTTTCTACATTTGGCATCTTTTGTACATCTCCAGCGCGTATGGCCTTTTTCAAGGCACTTAGAGCATTGTTGGCCTGTAGCGTTGTCTAATTGACCAAAGTGAATTAATCTGGATTTGAAATCACCAACCTTTGCAAACCTTGGCGAAGGGGTTTTGGTTGTTCAATAAAAACAAACATATCCCCATTGTCACAATTTGTAAGATGACCATTAATTCTTAATTTTTGCCTTTTTATTTCTGATTTGAAATTACATCCAAGTTTTACAACTTCATACTGCATGGTCTCGTCATTAACCTAGAGTGGAATATCCTTGATAATTAATTTTGTGGTATTCACATCATTGTTAGGAAGATACGGGTTTGTATCATATAATGGCACCGAGCAATTATTTAGAGTGATTCCAAGAAGATAAAAGAATTACTCTATTTGCTCGATCGTTGACGTAGAGCCTCCATAAATTCTATATTATCTTCTGAATTCGTAGAACGCAATCCGCTGGAATGTTCTGAATTAAGGATTTATATGCCTCTTCGGCACTTAAATAGCCCTTGTTTGCGTCGCTGCACATAACATCCGAATGTTTAAAAAACACGGGTTTGCAAGTTTGCGATGGATGAGCTTGCACTTGAGGCCTTTGATCCTTTTTTCTCAGGTCAGCATTATTCTCAACTGTATTCGCTTGGCACTCTGTTGACATTGACGTACCGGCCTGGATAATTTTATTAACATTTCTACTTACATCGGTATTCAGGTTGGTTGGTCTTTTTGGATTTTGTGTATACTTTTCACAGACACTGTTCCGATCGTATTAGAGATCTAATCATAGCGCCTTCTTCAAGTAGCACTTAAATATGCACTGAAATTTCAAAAATTTAGTGGAAAAAACAGGAGGCACGTGCCAAACACCAGTGGCTTATCTAGAAGTCTTGAAT